TTCCGTCACACTTTATTCTAACTTCATAAAACTATGATATGTGTCTTATCTCACATCCAATAAAAGTCCTATGGAATCAATGTGTGCAACGCACGCGAATGCGAAGAGTCTATCATTCATCCATCTTAGAATCATTTCAACTATTTATCTGAATGAAGTATAGATAAAATAAGCATATTTTGGACATAATTGATTCGACCAAATCGGTTAGACGATGTTGTAGGATTGTTTATATATTTTTTCTATGTACGATTTCCTGCATAGAATTTGCATTCCTTGCAATACGAACGAAGAATGCCGATCATTTATGGAGTTCGATGATCCTTTTTAGCCTACTATAGAATTACTCCTATCGGAAGAATTTTCGTTCTCTCTCATCTAATCCTCCAAATATTACAAAAAGAAAAAAAGACACCTCACTTGATAACATTAATAAAGTATATGTTTATTTGCTTTTAATAAATTATCTAAATAGTGAGAATTTACAGTGATAAATATTAAAGGTGCATTACATATATATATTTATATATATAGAGAGAAAATCAAGTAATCATGCACATAAAAAAAGAAAGGAAAATGCTGTCAATTACAGTAGGCTAGCATATCATTATGAATTATTATTGATGCCAAGCAAGATAATTAATTGATAGAACTTTCCACTGATATGTTTCTCTTTTTATTCTTGTGGTCTTTTTTAGATTCTTGTGGTCACTTTTTATTGTTTTCTGTGGTTTTATTTTCTGAGTCAAACCATTTTCACCTAAATTCAACTTTTTTTTTTTTTTTTATCAATCTCAGCTTTCATACTATGTTGAAAATTTTATTAGATTTTACTATGCATGTTAAAGGATTTTTCGAAGAATTAGCTTCATCAAAAGTCTCTGATCGACTCGGAGACCTTAGTGGAAACTTTTTGATAGGACATCAAGGAGGCTTTAAAATGTTAAAGAGCTGGAGTTTTTGTTGTAGTTGGAACAAGGAAACAAAATCAAATCAATCTGGATTCTAATATCAATTTTTCCCAAAATTATATGTTAGGCATAACTTAAAAAGTTCGATGGTATATATTCTCATTGGTTTCTGTAAATAGTTTTTTTCTTCCGTAAATATAGTTTTCTTGCAAAAGTAAAATAAAAAATTGTAGTTTTCTTCTGTAAATAATGGTTGGTTTTCATATATATATGTTTGGCCAGTTGGATAATAAAAATTTGAGCTCTGATCTCTCCCGTCAAACCTCATCCTTAACAAGTTTTTGGTTTCAGTACGCTGAAGTACCCTAATAAGATGAGTCTAAGGTTTTACTCACTCATAGCAATCGACACCAATACAACTCAAATGCTTAAGCTATTAAGTACGACTGTATATATATTTTTATTCTTCAACTCTTAAAAATGAAAGGTTTTTTTTTTTCATAAGTTTTAAATTTCGTATGAATATTTTCTTAATATTTTAACTTCTTCATTAGTGTGCAGATCACCTCCATCTTCTTCTTAGCCAAGATAAGTTAAATTATGTATGACATCTCCAACTGTGCTTATGGAAGAGGAAGAACCTACAAGACGCCAAAGACCAAACCATGTTTCGATCATACCACCGTGAGCTGAAACTTGATTCCTAACCAATACAAATAAAAAAGGAATTAGAAGCCTACAAGATCAATGGCCAGTATGATATCATGTATATTCGTAGTCATCACGCAAGCATCTATTACAGGAAGATTAGGAAATCAAAGAAGAGCTTTATTTCCTGTACATATATCATGAACATCTGCATCCCTACATGGGGCCTGTGATGAGAACTGCGACTCATCTCAGTGTTGCTACAGCATAGTAGGGTATATGCATGCTATAGCCTTGACGATCCAAGTACTTCCTCTTCTTACTCTCGGGGACGTCGGTCTTCTTGAGATCGTCGATGCACTTTGCGTCCGCGAGGCATGCGAAAGACTTCGACTCGCCGGAGAAGTATCTCGATAAGCCTTTCCTCCTTGACAACAACAAGAAAATGATATGTCAGAGACACTACGTAAGACCCATATGGATGAAGCTGCAAGTAAAGAGTGGAACACTTTGGGGGTAGATGCGTCTTCAAAGAACCCATGTCGAAGGTATGATGAAGAACGTCCAAGTCTTGGGTGGCGGTGGTTGACATGGAAACGAGAAGGGGGATAGCTTCACTTCCTGAATCTGTTGTCTGTTGTTGATGCTATCATGTAGATATATAGATCGTAAGGTAGATGAAGAGAGAGAGAGAGAGAGAGAGAGAGAGAGAGAGAGAGAGAGAGATAATGGTCAAGAATTGGATCTAATAATAGGATAAGAACATAAGACGTGGATGGATTTACGCGAGCAATGGGCGCTTAATATGCGCTTCGTTTCAGCCTCAGAACCAGCAACTACTGAAGTACATGTCCTTGCGGACAACCTCCGCATTATTACTTGTATTATATGAGATAAAAGAGGACGGATAAGAAACTCAAGCAAAGAGCTTCTCAGTCACATTAATGCCCCTTGAATTGTTAAAAGATTTTTGAACCATTCATTATTCACAAGTAATTTTTTTTATTATTTTGCTGAGTGATGCTCTGAATAATTACTTTTGGGGATGGTTTTTTCATATGAGCATTACTCTTGCAAATAGCATACTACTTGCATGATGGCTCATAGTAATCTTATTTTATGGAATCAAATATATATGAAATATAATTAAAGATCAATAAGACAAAAAGAATTTATCATCTGAACTAGAATTTCTTTTATAGGGAGTCATGGTTGAATTAGAGTGTTTGACCAGCTCAACAGGTCCGGTCGCACATGTATAAGTCCCATTGAATCTGTCCATTGTGCCTTTGAATATTTGAGAATCTTTAGGTGTCTAATATAGATTCCTATCTTCACTGAGACCAATGTGGGATAGGGTTCTCCATATGATTTCTTGGACGCTCAAGTTAGATTTTCAAAACAAAATGAATCGAGTATGTGATGGTGAGAAATGTTTGACCTCAGTAATTGCACATTGATAGACTTCTCAACGTGATTCCTTCAACACTCAAGTCAAATTCTCAAATTAAAGTGGATTAGGTATATGTGACTGTGAGAAAGATTAGACCTCAATAACTACACCTCGATTTATATTTTATAGTTAGTCCCCTCACGCTTCCCCTCGAGATGCAAGCTCTTCTCAACGTTCCAAAATTCCAAATCTCCCTCCCATCGGATATATGGGTCTCTCAACGAAATGGATTAAAAGTTGGAAGACATCCATAAGGTAATAAGACAAGGGAAGCAATCAAAAATTGAATTGTATTTCTTGTCCCACTCTATAAAAGGCATAAATGAGGAGCCTATCCCTATAAATTCTAACTCCAAACCTTGTAGTTATACAATGGAAAGTCAAACCTCTTAGAGCACATAGCGGCATTCACTTCATAGATGATGCTTTATAGGGTCATTGACTTCCTTATATGTTGAACTTTCCCTATGACTCTAAGAGGCACAACACAGTAGTGGTTTGCTAAGTCTCCTCCTTAGTCCATCTCCTCGTTTGGTTAGTTAGTAATGGAATTCGAGCTTAATCTTGTTAATTACAAGTTTTTTTAAGAAGCCTATAACTTTTCTCCAAGTGATACATAAGGTAAAAAGAGAATCATTGGAGAGCTAATTACTAATCCAACATCGTCTATCTATATCAATGCATATATTAGTGACTTTCAGCGTTCAAGGTTCTTCTATAAAGGCATCACCCAATCCCCTATGACCTTCTCGAAGTTGTTACAATAAGCTAATCACTATATTGTGGTTGAATATATAATTCTTAGGAAGAGAAATACTAAGCTAAAGAAGCTAGACGAGGAAAAAGTTCTGTTGAATCTCGGATTTTGATAATAAAATCAATTGATAAATTACTTAATCAAATCTATATATTGAGAAAATTATGTAAGATTAACTATGATAGCAATCAAGGCATAAAGTAAAACGAAGTGTCGTAGTTAAGATCAATATTTCGTTGGAAGTTCGAGAGTTTGTTAGAAGTCCAAACGTTTATTAGAAGTTTTGTCGGAATTGACTGAGAAGTCCAGGAGCTTGCCAAAAAAACTATTCAGAACTCGCCAAGAAGATCGTCGTGAAGTCTAGGAGCTTGCCGGAAGTCTGTTGGAACATTACTGAGAGATCATCGGAAGTTCGCCGGAAGATCACCGGAAGCTCGTCGGAAGAAACCCAGACTAACCGAACTTGATTTGCTTAGTGTATGCCTTAAGAATCATAGTTAGTACGTAATTAGGGTTAGATTTAGGAGGTAATCTAACTAATTTTGTTAGGGGCTAACTGGGTCCGTAATTAGATTGGTTTAGATCATATTCAAGGCCCAACCAGATTGCTGAACCCTGTTTAGCGGTGGCACCACCAGAGTGGAGCGGTAGAACCACCCAAGGAGCGGTCTTCTAGGTGGTCTGGGTAGTGGTACCACCAAAGCTTAGTCTCTAAGAGCTTTGTCAAGCGGTGGTACCGCTAGACTGGGCGATGGTACCACCTAGTGTCAGAGAGTTAGGCGGTGGTACCGCCCAGTACTGGCGGTGGTACTGCTAGTACTCAAGAAATCCAGGATGAGATATTTTTTGGCTCTAATTTTGAAGTCATTGGGACTATAAATACCCCACCCTTTTCTGTATGAAAGGGTAACAAAAGTACAATCAATGTATGAAAAATTCGAAGTGTTGGGGTGTTAAAAGTATTATAAACGTGAGAATAGTCCTCCTCCTCCCTCTCTTTAGCTTTGTAATTATCCAAGAAGAGGTGTGAGACTTATAAGGGTTCTCTCCTAAACCCGTGAAAAGGAGAAAGTACTGTAAAGACGTGGTTGATCTTCGCCTATTGAAAGAAGACCATCAGTGGACGCTGGTGACATCGACGGAGGAGGAATCAAAAGTGGATGTAGGTCACAACAATCAAACTACTATAAATTCTAGTATACT